TTAATATTCCATTTCATATAAATACGTGAGTTAAATTTGTTGCATTGATTATAAGATGATCCCTTCAAGACATAGGGGGCGAGCTGATAGAAATGCTGTTTGTAACGGATTTGAAAAGGCTAGGTCTTGAGGTGTCTCTTGCGTGTTTTATATCATATAATATCCCATTTGAGGTCTTTTACGAATTTCAAATGTGATCATATACCAGAATGCATGGTCATTAGTAACAAAACTATTTGCTTTACTAACGTATTTCGATAATTCGCCCCTGTGCATTAAAATATGTTCTATACTATCGTAGTTTCATGTTCGTCGACGTGACATTTGTGTAGTATTGGCTGTATTCTTCAGCAAGACAGCAAGTGGCGACTTTCTAGTTTAGATTGTAAATTAAGTGCGCAAAAAATACTAATTTTATGTCGATTTGCAGCCAAATATTTTTCTGTGATATTCATCAATTTCACCTAAATCCCAGAAGGACACATTATTAAAAACGTTGATAAGTTGTACAAGACCGGTGTTGAATTCTTAATTTCTGTTTTTACCGGCGTGACTATATTCTTCAGTCTCATTCTTCAAATGGACTGAAATCTAGATTGTAACGACTGACGCTAATAGTGTGTCTCTCTTTTAATGTTCAGATGAGAAAAAGGCATCTCGTCTCTTGAAAGTTGAATGTTTTGCTGTCTTGTTGAGTAAGAGATATAATTTTACGAACCAAGTTCGATTATTTTGTTTTACTAGTGAAGTATGTAGAATTTACAAATTTCAATTTCCATTTGCAAAAATTCCCTTCTTGAAAAGCTGATTTGATACATGTAAATACCATTCATAGGATGGAAAAAAACTTCTTTCTTGTTTTAGTATTTATCTCTGAAATGGATGTAAGAAATGTGAGAAATATCGAGATCTCTCCCTTGGATTTTAATCCAGATTTCATAAGTGAACATGTAGTTTGTTTTCTATATAGTTTTTGCAAGTGATTTTTTTTTCAAATTCATGTTCCCTTTATAATCTATTGTTAACTATTCTTCCATTTTGTCAATAGCTGGATAAACGCTGTATATATTTTTACGTAGGACGTACGACTCTTTTTTTTTTACCAAACATAATGAAAGTGTGCTCATTTTTTTCTTAACGATACGTGTCCGACTAAAAAAACGTTCAATTTTAAACAGAGCATTTTATATAAATCTCACATTTTTTTTCTTATATAGAGAAAAACAATGGCGGATCCAGGATATTTAAATGGGGTCATATGTTGACCTTTGGGGCGAGATGGAGCATTTTGATGACTTGATAATGTGAGTCCAGAATGGGTCTCTCTCTCCTCGGGGAGGGCGGAGACTAGATCCACCATTGTTTTTTATTAAACAAGTTGAAATATTTTGTTTGTGTCATTAAGATCAAACAGAAGACCATTAGTGTGGTAGATAGTTTATTTGTCAAGTCGAATAGATAAAAATGTAATATTTGTTACACCTTTAAGTGAGTTTAAATGCAGACATCAATAATATTCTTTCAGATGCTTAGTAATAAAAAAACTTAAGACAATGATGTTTTACCTATTATATGTTTTATATATAATAGAATACATAATAGCTATTTGTTTTGCTCTTTTAAGATTACAATAAAAAATTATTGAATATACAAATTGTCTTAGTGTTTTTAGGTCCTACTGACGGCTACATGGCTCAGTGGTAGCCTGGGGTTGGGGTTCGATTCCTGGCTCGGGCACTTTGGAATTACAAAGGGGTGCTTTTAAAATTTTCCTTTGGTTACTATAAGAAGAAAGTCTACACAGGGAGGGTGGGTGGGAACACTTAGAGGAATAGGTAGCACGCTTGGCTCGGAAACAGAAGGTCGCCAGTTCGATTCCTGGCTCTCCTAGGTCCCAGCAAATTACCTTTTGCAAAAATAATTCCAAATAAACAATTCAAACTGCTACAAGAGGATCATGCGTATAACAAAAAGTAAGTTGAGACAGTTGCTCAATAGATAAGGCGACAGGCTAAGACAGAGGAGGTCGACTGACCAAGTTGATAACCAAAGGCTCGAGACGAGCAAAAGGAAATAAGGGAATAATCGAGTGGCATTTTGTACATTTTGAAACTACATGTATTACAATTTAAATAAGTACGTTTATTATAACAAATACAAGCATATGCACCATACAGATGTATGCAAAACCCGAACATTACGTGTACGTTTTGGCTCTACATAAAAAGCAATTTTCAAAACGCTCTCGCATTTCGAGATGTCAATCAAGCTTAAATACAACTATCCATGACTAGATGCGTCGGAGGTAGTATGCATTTTGAAAATTTTCGCTCAAGATCATTCATTTTGGTTTTAAAAAATATGTTCAAGAACACTGCACACGANCACGCTTGGCTCGGAAACAGAAGGTCGCCAGTTCGATTCCTGGCTCTCCTAGGTCCCAGCAAATTACCTTTTGCAAAAATAATTCCAAATAAACAATTCAAACTGCTACAAGAGGATCATGCGTATAACAAAAAGTAAGTTGAGACAGTTGCTCAATAGATAAGGCGACAGGCTAAGACAGAGGAGGTCGACTGACCAAGTTGATAACCAAAGGCTCGAGACGAGCAAAAGGAAATAAGGGAATAATCGAGTGGCATTTTGTACATTTTGAAACTACATGTATTACAATTTAAATAAGTACGTTTATTATAACAAATACAAGCATATGCACCATACAGATGTATGCAAAACCCGAACATTACGTGTACGTTTTGGCTCTACATAAAAAGCAATTTTCAAAACGCTCTCGCATTTCGAGATGTCAATCAAGCTTAAATACAACTATCCATGACTAGATGCGTCGGAGGTAGTATGCATTTTGAAAATTTTCGCTCAAGATCATTCATTTTGGTTTTAAAAGATATGTTCAAGAACACTGCACACGACAATTCTAACCAGAACATAAAATTCTCAGGTTTTTGCCCAGAGTTTGAAAAGAAAGTTGAGGATTTGTCGTGATATATTTTACAACTAGCGTTCAAAGTTAAAATTGGTGTATTTGTCCTGTGACTGATCCAAAATTTCACCGGCGGACATTTTTTATCTAAATTCAAGGGTAGTAACAGTAACGAAAATTTAAAATGCATATGATCTCATGTAAGCGTTCCCCCCGCACGCGGGCACGCAGTTAAGACAGCACAACTTACTCTATGTCGCCATGCTGATGATCGCATACAACACCGAAAAGCAGTCAAACATTATTCAATTCTGTAAATTTAATTAGTGCTTTTGTCATAGATAAATGAAGATGTGCCTCGCATTTTGTGTCATTTTTTTCTCTTTAATTCTTAAAGAGGGATTTTGGTGGCACAATTTGAGTGAACACTTAAATTTACGCGTCGTGCAAATCAAGAACAGCATGAAGACATGGTTAGTTAACCTCCTTATCCAGTCATAGTCATTTTTAAGAACAATATGTAAAGAAAATTGGCTATGCAAAAACCAATTTACTTAAAATAACTATAAGCACATTTACTAAGAAAATGCTAATAAACTCAACGGTCTCCGGTGTTTAGTGATAAAGAAACACTCAGCAAAAATAACCCAACATCACGTGCAAGACTGGCATCTAATCTTCCATTTTCTTCACAACCACCCATTGATACCGACCGAAAAATAGAATTAAGAAAATACCAAGTACAAGATCTACATTAAAATTACACCAACCTGCAAAATTTTGGTAAAACCTTTTGTCTTACCAATCAAAGTTTTGATTTTTCATTTTTGATTACACAAGCAAATCACTACAAAACAAAAAGTAGCTTTAGTCAGTAAATCAACTAACCAAATAAAAGAACTACTATAGTGTACCACATATAATAATAGATATTTATGTTAATTTTCCAAAAAAATCCTTTTCGTGTTATTTCAATACAGAAATAATTCCGTATTTTTGAGAAATATTTACGATCTACAAAGGTTCACCCCACCCCCCAAAAAAAAAAAAAAAAAAAAAAA